CATCAAAAGCCTTCGGTTATTGATCGCAAAGGGTCTCCTTTGCCTCGACGTCTTCTCCGTCGTTGGTTGGAGCGCAGACACGTACTATAGTTGTCTTTATGTTTCTGGAGTCGAATCTAGCTGAAATGATCCGGTCGCTGACGGGTGTCCAACTCTCCAGACATTCGCTGGCATACCTGGTCATCATGATTGCTTCTCCACTTTGGGGAACGGTAATCTTCCCTACCTGAGCAAAGGACGGTCTCTCTGGTGGGAGTTCTGAGCCTGCCGAACCCAACCCACCTGCACTCACCAACTCCCAGGATACTGATCCTATATATATCTTACTTAAGCTGCATGTTTTGCCATTCCAGTATCCGATCCTATACATAATTTTGGGATTAGCTAGTGACACTCTCAGTCTACGAGCGTCTTTGCAGAGTTCATCCGTGTCCATCATTCTGCCATCGTCGCACGTTATAAAGTTGTCGTCTGGACTTTCGGCAAGTCGTGGTACTTGACCCAGTAAAGTTTTTTCTCAACAAATCTCTGATTTCCGTAATCAGGGTTTTTGTACGGTGCACGTGTAGAGTGAGAGGATTGGTGAGTTATCGGGATTTCCCTCCCCTTGGTAGTTGCCTTGTTAGGCTAAAAGGTACTACCACCTGGGTTTTGGCTCGGAGCTTTCCATCTCTGAGATGGGCTGCTTCCCACGGCTGGTGAGCCTCATTTGCCCGTTCAAAAATAGTTACGAGTAAGTAGGTTTATTTTCTTCTTTTTTTGGATCCAAGGACAGAAAAATTGGCCTCACTATCATTCTCTCAATACGGCAAGGCCGAGGTTTGAGATTTTCGTGTAAAGACCAAGCGGTCGAGGTTAATAAGTTGTTTATTATATGGCTTTTTGTTTTGCTTTTGCAGGCCCGTAATCGGCCTTAGAATCAGCCAATCAGAGCGTCCGTTATATCGGCTCACAAACCATATAATAATAGATTGTTAGACAACAGTTGATTTATTTTGTGTTTTTATTCCTTCAGCCCCTTGCCAGCCATTTTTGGTAAACCAGACCGAGCTTTGTGATGAGTTCCAAACCTTAGTGCAAGGTTATGGCGTTGATAAAGTTTGTAATCGACCTCTCGCATCGTGTAGTTTGAAAACTCGTGCTGCTCCACCTAGTCGGAAAAACCCTTCCGCGTGGGCGAATGTTACTGCGATGAGGTCTGTAAAGAGATTGGTGATTGCTGTGTAGACCATGACGAGTGGTAAGTCACTAACTAACGTAGAAAAAAATCTTCAAGCTGTAGCCGCAAACGTGACTTTTGCGAACGACGGTGTCGTGTGACTACAATTACCAGAATCCTTCACGCTTCCTGTTTCGATTTTCATTTAGATCAAACCGGAAGCCTTATGAGCGCTTACCCCTGGCATACATTTCTCTGTAAAATTTGACGCTAACACGGAGAGTCATTTCAAAAGCAAATGATATTCATCTCTTCATTTAAAGGTTTTTGACAAGTTGTATTGTTGCTATGGTAACCTGTTATATAAAAAGGATGACCACTACATGACCACTCTGAATCCTCTCCAGAACTTTTAAAGTTATCCGAAAACATTGGGTTGCATGACAACATCAAGTTCCAAGAACAATGATATGTCATACGAAAGTGTTCCCTGATACGTTTCAGATGAAGTTTCAAAGTTTGGCAGCGCAAACCTAAGGAGGCTGGCAACAGTTTCCAGCACTTTACCAACCGCTGTACTTTGAAAGATGCATATTACTATTGTTTATCAAATGATGCCACAATAATGGTATAGCACAAATGCCCAATCATTGATAAACAAGTAGTGATATTTTTGACGTACGATATTAATTCTAAGGACAACAGAGAATTCCCTCTGTAATGGGTTTACGATTTGCAGAGGATAAACAAAAATTGTTGGAAAGAGAAATTCTTGATATGATTCAGACGAGCAACAAGCATTCTGTCCCTTCTATATGTTGATCTGCGGAACAGGTGGGAGAAGTCTGAAGTGTGATCTTGAGGGGAGCATCAGAACTCTTCTCTCCTCTATACGCCAGCTAACGGCTATTCGCCACGTCTCGGTCCCTTTCCTTTTACTCTTCTTCTCTGCCATTCAGTTTGTGTACAAGAACCTTGCTTCCCGCTCAAGTACTTTAAGGCCTGCGTCAAAGGCGTTTACGAGTAAAAAAAATTATGTTATATTTGTGAAGACATGAATGACAATGGATCCAAATTCGGCTCACAGTTATGTTTTAATGCGCTATTATTTGAGGAATTGGTGGCGGTTTTTAGTAATATCATCCAAGAAAAAAGCGTTTTAGATGCAGGTCAATTATTTCCATCCTCTCACGTTAGAAATGGCCGTCACTCTTTTCGATCGTAGAAAAAATTTATAACGCCAACTTTTTCAACAAAATTCGACTTTTGATCACTTATATCTTTCATAGTTAGTTAACTATGTGTCTTCTAAAAATGAAATCAAGGGTGATCATTCCAGACGTAGCAAGGGAGATAGGTCAGCTTTGTGCAACAAATATGACAAGAGATATTCGTCAAAATATTTTGCACAAATTTACAGAGCCCAGTATGGAGCCGCCATGTTGGCGTACCGCGGCCTCCGTGATACACCAACATGGCGGTCGGAAAATAGTGTAAACATCCGGAACTTACTTTGGCCATCTAGGCGACTGATTATCTGTAATGAATAAAAAAGCATTTAGATAAACACTTCTCTCAAAAAAAGCCTAAGTTCCCCTAGTAGCTTTACGCTACAGATTCTGTTTAAACTGGTGCGTGGGCCTTTTCGACCCAAGTGAAAATTTAACAACCTTTCATACTATCGAATGGTTCGTATATGCACAAAGGGTTGGAATGAACTCCAAACTCCAAAGTGAATACAAAACTAAAATGGGCAGATTTTTAAAAACTTAACAAAACTTAAGTTTTTTTTGTGGAACAGAGAAAGAGATCCTCGCAGTTTGACAACAACGTTAAGTTTACCTGCGATACAGAAAGCCTATGGATAGATCTAGGCTCAAATATATTATCAATTTCATGTATATTCATATAACCATGAATAAGTAAGTAAGGTGCCACTGTAAAGTTTTAAAAGGGTCTTGATGTCGCTAAGTAGCTAGCCACATGTGCTTTCGTATGACAACCGTCAGGTTACATGATAGCCACTACCAAGTTAACAACCAATCGAGCCATTAACAGGCAATTAAAGCGGCAGCCCCTCTAATGCTATTGACTGTATCATTAGTCTGTAAATAAGCAGTAATGAAACTTGTATCACTATAGCTATCATGCCGTGTAACCCAATAAAAGTGTATGATAGCCCAATGGCTCAGTTGTTACTAATTTTCGTGCTTTGTTTTCTTTCGCTTTAGTTAAGGTTTTTCTTTATGTTTTTGGTTTTGGCAGTTTGATTGTTGTTAGAGCGGTTTTCAATTGAGCTTAGTAAAACCAAAACCAAAGAACCAACTCGATTGGAAACCGCTCTAGACTCGAAGCAAATGCGTGAACAAACCTGAGGCAAAATGTGGCCGGGAAAATCTTTGCGGGCGACTCACGATAAGTTTTGATTTAAAATTCTGATTGGATGACAAAGTAGCGCATGCTGTTAAGGTGGCTCAAAACAGTTTCCAGCACTTTCTAAGACTTAGATTTTGATGGGTCATAAAAACCACCCTTTATGAATTGATGCCACAATCATGGTATTAAAAAACTGCCCAATCATTGGTGAACACGTTGTTATCATTTCTGGGACACAATAGGTTACCATAGCAACAGTATGACCTGCTAAAAACTTAATTATAGCTTTTGGGCTTATGATTCAAAAACGGCACGGTGAATTTTTTTCTTTCATATTATCAAATTTTGATAAGCAGGAGAAGACGCAACGTTTGACAAAGTTTTAAAAAAAATCTGTAAATGGAGTTCAGAGCCACCTTAAAGTTTTGAAAATTTATAGTGCCTCTGAACCCTATATGCAGAATTTTTTTTAAACTTTGCCAAAAGTTGCGTCTTATCCTGCTTATCAAAATTTCATAATATGAAAAAAAAAAATTCACTATGTCTTGTTTGAACTATAAGCCCTTAAAGCTATATTTAAGAGTGTTTTTTGCAGGTCATACTGTTACTATGGTAACCTATTGTGTCACGAAAATGATAAAAATGCGTTCACCAATGATTGGGCAGGTTTTTTTATACCATGATTGTAGCATCAGTTGATAAAGAGTGGTTAAAATGACCCATCAAAATGTAAGTCTTGGAAAGTGCTGGAAACTGGAAACCATTTTTCCAGTGATACCAAAAGATAGGAAATAAAAGTTTTCTCTACAACTTTTCTTAGCCGATTTTTCTCACCTCATTTCGACTTTCCCTTGCCCTTACTTAAGGGCCTCTTCATATGAGCCCGGTAACTGGGCTGGTTCGGTTACCGGGACGAATGTTTTTCATCCCGGCAGACCGGGATGAAATTTCAGAAACAAAACCAAAATGGTGGAACATAAACTTGTATCGTTCGCGACTATTGTAGCTTTGTAGATTCTTGTAACTTTACCACTAAAGGTATTCCGTATACCTCTGAAATGTAAATACATATAAGACAAAAATGCCATTTTTGCCGCTATGTTGCGATAGCGAAGCTATTTTGTCAAAAAATTATCGTCCCGATCGCCGGCGCAGGAGTGTTCATATGGGAAAATTTTCATCCCGGTTACCGAGATCTCCGTCGCAAAGTCCCAGATCTCGGTTCCGGCTTCTCATATGAACAAATCGAAATGTTTACGAAGAAAAGAGTGGTAAGGCGGGATCTCGGAAACTGAGCCAACCCGGTTGACCGGGCTCATATGAAGAAGCCCTATAAACTGCCTCTGGGTTTCTAAGGATGGAGTTTTGATTGCCACTCTGTTGTTGTGTAACTGATATTCCACAGTCCACACCTTTGTTTTCCATAATCCAATTCCACCTTCTCCATCATTGCGTAATGCGCATGTCGTAACGTGGAAGCCATTGGATCGATGAAAGTTCACTCGGCTTAGTTCGTTCTTCATAGTCATCCCTTGAGCATCAGATGGCTCCACCGGGAGATTCGAAAACATTTTTTAAAGCTGAAGGTGGTAGAGGACAACAGAGCCCGAACGATCTGGAAGAAATGGTCTCGAAGGCAAACAAACTCGGTGGATCCGAACAAGGCAAGACAGGAGTCAATGGGATTTTACTCGGCCCACCAGGAGCCGGCAAAGGAACACAGGTTGAAGGCGATTTTTTTCATTGTTATTTGCATCAGAATTTTGTGATATTTGAATGAATATTTGATTAACTTGTTGCTTATAAGTAGGCTTGATAAGGATACTATTTAATCACAAATCCACATTAGTTGAAGTTCGTTGGATATTGACCTCTAATAAGCTTAATTTTATTCATTCCTTGTGTGTGTATGTAGGCACCCAAATTAGCAGAGAAATATTGCGTTTGTCATTTAGCTACGGGTAAGTTATTTACTTGTATTTGCATTGCTGTGAATAACAGGCCGACTCTCAAATAACAGAGTGAGCGTAATTGGCTTCACTCTCCCCCACCCCCTGGGAAAGCCTCTTAACTTTATTCCAGCCTCTGGTGAGAATATGGAAAATAAGCCACCCGAGTCCCGGATGTGTCATCATATGAATTTTGCGAGTGGTGTACCGTATTTTCCAGTAAAACACTCGTGTCTATATAATGATTCATTTTATTATATGGCTAACTCCGTTGGGTTGGCAAGATGAACCAAACTCTGTGCTCTGATTGGCTACCTGAGTTGGCAAGTTGTTGAGTTGTTTTGGTATGAAGGGGTTCCCACCTTTTGCTCAAAACTGCATGGCTAATGTACATGTAGGGTTAAAACTAAATCAGCAGGGGGAAACATGTAATTTTTAAATCTTTTTCTAGGAGTTTATAAATATATATGTATTTTAGTATCAGAGTCAAACTGTACAAACTTCCAATTCTAAGGTTTTACATTTGGGGAAGCAAGCAAGATTGCCGAGATGATTCTAGGAAAGGAGGAAGTTCTCAAATTTGCATTTAAGAAATTTTAATGGCACTCCACAGAAAAGAGATAGTGAATTCAATGTATAATAATAAGCTTTGACGAATGAACTTGTAATAGTTTGATTTAGTGGTTTGTTTGTCATGTTAGGTGACATGTTAAGAGCTGTTGTGGCATCTGGTTCTGCATTGGGAAAGAAAGTGAAGCAGGTTATGGATGCAGGACAAGTAAGGACAAGTTAGAATACTTGAACATAATACAAACCTGTGAAAGTACATGTAGGCTGAATGTTTTGAGAACTTAAAATTTTTGCCTCAAAATGTTAACAGATTTATATTTGGTAAACCAGAGCATTTTGAGAGTTTTAAAATGAGAGGTCAAACTCTTTCTGAGACCACTGGAAGCTGAGATTGAATATTTTTCAACTTGTAACGGCGGCCAAGTTTATACACAAGCGATGTAAACAAAATACATGTCTGTGTCAACTAATAATTGGTGTTATTACCATATTTTTACCATTTCATAGTTGAAAAGTGTAACCTTGTAAAAAAAAAACAACAAGAGATCTTGAAGCATGTTTCTGTGCCAGTTATTACAAGTAGCTGCTTACAGTTTGGCGGAGCATTTTCGCCGCTTTTTGGCAACAAAACTGCTTGGGTTAAAACTATTTGAGACGCGAGTCAATGTACATGTACAGACTGTAATCAGTCTTGGGTTTATTGGATAAATTAAAATCATTTTCTAAAGCCACCTTCCGCGTTTCTAAGGGTCTAAATATTTGAATATCGAAATACGGAAAGACCAATTCGTAAGAATTTAATTTATGCTTTGATGGTGAATAAGAAGAAGCAACATGTGCGATTTATTTATTGTTTATTTAGTCTTTGTGTCAACCAGCAAATTACTCTGGTTCCAGAGCATTAGCTCCACTTTATTCACAAAAAGAAAATTAAGTCTCACCAAAGTCTCGCTTACATAAAAGCGTTTGCACTCTTCAGAAATATGCTACAAGTCACTTGTATGTAAGTCACGTCTTATTTGTAAACCTGTCTTCATTTGTATAAGACAGCATTCTGGAGGCATTGTAGCCTCATGGTTGTTGTGCTCGACTCTGGATCAATCGGTCCTGGTTCGAGCCCTGGCCAGGGTCATCATGTTGTGTTCTTGGGCAAGATACTCTCTCCACCTGGGTGTACAAATGGGTACCATCAAATTTAATGCTGGTGGGTAACCAGGCTACGATGGACTACAGTGTAGCATCTCATCCAGGGGGCAGTAGAAATATTTCTAGTCACTTCATGGTACAGAAACCGAGATAAGCTCCAGCCTGCTACATACAGGCTACTTACATGTAGCTTGTATGCAGACTATAAGACAGGGCTTAGAAATCAGCCTACTGCAGCATTAAGCCGTCCTATTTCTTAGATTGCTTTTATTTCTCAGCTTGTGAGTGACACTCTTGTTGTGGAACTCATTGACGACAATCTCAACAAACCTGAATGTGCAAATGGTTTCCTTCTTGATGGATTTCCGAGAACAGTGGTTCAAGCAGAAAAGGTATGTATAAAGACACTGGATGTGCATATTGTACCAGGGTTGGTGGATGTGCACAGGAGTTTCATTAACATTTTCAGCAGGGTGGCAACTGGTTTTTACAGGTGTGCAAAAGTATTTGAATTGAACTTCTTTATAACAAAAACCCTTCTGCTAGATGGTCAAACCAGGCAGGCAAAACCATCCATCCGGTCAATTTGCACAGTGCCCAGCCCTTAATGAAACCCTTGTGTGCCTGTAAATGCATGCACTTCTGTTAATCTATAACACTATACCTTTCAACTGTCATCTACAATCTTGTGGCTGGGTGGCTAGATATTGGCCAAGATCTTTTATAGCATGTTTGTAGACCAAGCAAGCTTGGTGAGTTAGAGACTTACACTGTATCATGTGACATACACGGCAGGGTGGTCTTGCGGGATACTGTAGAGTGGGAAATCTCAACTGGGTGGGACTGCCCCATCTCGTGTGCTTGGGTATATTAATTCTGGCCAATTACATGTAAAGCACATGATTTGGTCCATCGTGCACTTTTGTGCAGTGGCAAAGATTTGTATACTGACTGTTGTCAGCATCAGCTTTGGATTTGGTTGATAAGACTTGCACTTGTGGATATCACAAAACTTTATCCAATTCAGGGAAATCTCTTTCATGAACACCAAAGAGATGAGCAAACTTGACTGTCCATATCATGGAGGTTGCTGTGTTATAGAGTTAGATATTACATGTACATGTAATGAACTCTGGTTTTGCTGAAACTAAGTGAACTGTACATTGTAGCAGGTTTTGTGCCGGTTCATGCAAAGGGCGTAGTCTAAAGAACTTATTTGTGATGTGAGTAAGTTTGTGATTTCAGCTCGATGAACTGATGGAAAAGAGGAAGACTGGATTGGATGCTGTGGTTGAATTTGCTATTGACGATTCACTACTGGTGCGGCGGATTACTGGAAGGTACATGTATACTGAACATGTAGCTCGGCTGCATGAACAACTCATGAATATTAAATGTTGAAACTGTCTGATATGTTTCTTTCTCTGTAGCATGGGTTCTCTGAGCAAAAGGGTCAATGAAATGCAAAGGTGTGAGGGTATGAAGGTGTCAGTAATGAATTGCAGTTCATGCGCCATTCACCGCTTTAGAAACCAGTATAGAAACTTGGGGCGTGTCATCTCACAGTGGCTTGTGAGATTGTTACTGGGGTCGACAAAACAAAAGATTGGAAGCTATATTGTCCCCAATGACAATCCCACAAACAACTGTGAGATGAAACTCGCTCCAGATTTCTTTTCATATCCAAGGTGGCAAATGGACAAATCGATCTTCATGAAGCTGTGGGGTGGTGCATCATGGGTAAAGGGGGGAGGGGGGAGGCATAGCCTGTTCCAGGCTCTCAGTCAATGGAGAGGATTAATGACTTGCTTCAAACCAGACCCCGCTTGCAGCCCGCCCGCTTTTTCAATCCTTCCCATTGACCATGAGCCTGGAACTGGCTGGGGGAGCTGGGGAGGCTTCAATTTTCTGCCTCTAGATTACACGACTGGTAAACAGATCCATCAGCCACGCTGCATTCGCAAAGTACATGTATATTATCATCACTTTCAGGTTGCTTCACAAGCCTAGTGGAAGAACTTATCACACTGAATTTAACCCACCCAAGGAGTCAATGAAGGATGATGTGAGTTTAGCTTTTATTAGTAATTGGTATCAATTGTTAAATGATCAAATAATACTGGGAAACTTATTTGAATGGAGGCTGATGCTATACATGTGGCACTTACACACATCTACTGGGTCCAATTCTTAGATAATATTGGACTAACAACAAAGGACCCTGATTGGTTGATTTTGTTTTTGGTCTTCTGAACTATCTGAGTTGTGTAATACACTGCTCAGATTTGATAGAACTGTACAGCAATTCTGCATCTTTTTTCCATTTTTTTTCTTTTTCTATCAATACTAAGGTACTGCCTTATGTTATGCACATTACATGTAGTTTGTTAGAAGCAATGGAAGTTAATACACAGAGATTTGGACCCCACAATCCCAACAACTAAAATACAAATTAAACATTTTGGTATAGTCAATGCCTGGCAAATTTAACAAAAGCCATTATGGGTTGAAATGAACTAAAGTGTGCCTTCGTCCCCAGGTTACTGGTGAGCCGCTGGTTCGTCGGTCAGATGATAACGAGGTTACCCTGAAGAAACGCTTGCAAGCTTATCATCAGCAAACTTCACCGCTGGTCGACTATTATAAGAAGCGCGGGCTCCATTCTCGCATCGATGCTGCAGAAACCCCGGATGTTGTTTTCAATAGTGTTTTGAGGGAGTTTGAAAAAGCGAAAGCTCGCGCCAGGAAATTTTTTTAATGAAGAATTATCTCCGGATGACATTATGAATTAGGTTGTAATTGCCCTCCTTTGATGTCCATTCGAGAATTTTTTTGACATACATAATGTGTGATAGGCCTTCCCACAAAATAAAGTGACGTAGAAATGCGTAAATATCTTTCCGGATTTCTAAATATCACAGAATATTTTTCTCCAAACATCTCAAAAAACCCTTTTTAAATATCTTGTTTTTGTTAACGTTTTAAAATTAACCGATTTTAGACCAAAATTTTCCAATTTTCCAAAAATTTTGTACCTGTAGTAGAAGGATATGAGGAAGAAGATCCAGGCGCTGCAATGTCACCGGCATCGCTCATCTTGGAAAATTGCTGCTTTAGTGCTTTTAGTGATGAAATACATGCATATTTTTCAAATCCACGCGAAACCACTTGTTTCTGTTACAGAAATACCTATTGTTTCGAGAAAATAACGAAGAATACACAGGCCCAGCCAAAAAAGCTATGAATATTTCTAAATATCCCAAAAATATTTTTAAATATCTCAATGCTCCCTAAATATCTCGGAGATTTCTAAATATCCCCAAAATATCCGGATAGTTGTGGAAAGTCTTAAATTGTGTGAAATGTGCGTCAGCGGGGTGATAAAAATGCTCTGGTGTTCTGTCTAATCAAAATAAACAAACCAATTTGAAACCAGCTTGACAAACCAGTTTGTCACATTTCCCGCGCGCCACACCGATTCTTTATATCGTACCCAGATCTCTCTCTGTTTGACCGTAAAAGTTCTGGGCTCGAGAAAAAAGTTCGGTTTGAGCGAGTTTTCCCTACTTCAGAATCTTCTCTAGCATAAGATTACTTCCAAGCTTGGGCCAGACACGAGAGCGACAGACTTGCAGGTTGTTGAAGGTGATATGTTCCCAGCAAAATGGGATCGCATTGGACCCTGTAAATCATTGGGTAGGGCTGTGCCGTTCAGTTTTCTGTCCCCCAGGCTCCTCCAGGCTTCGCCGCTCGTTTCTTCGTGCGCGCCAAGCTGTATCAAGCTAATAAAAATGTTAGCCCTTAGAAATGAATGATGACAGTTTCTGGAACATATACAACCTCATTTCCATGATACCTCTTCCCTTGACCGTACGAACGAGGTTGATGTATTGCCAGTTATCGATTAGTTATGATGATGTTTTTGACACGGGAAGAAAAGAACCAGGTCTAGGCAAATTCCCAGCTATCATGACCCATTACGCTTGGTGAAGAAAAACATATTACTGAATATGGCATATATGAGCATAATTTTATTGCTGGAAACAGTGGTTAATCCCATGTTGAGAATTCAGCCTAA